CCCCGCCAACCACCGTTTCTCTTTCTCCTTCTCTTCGTTTTCCTCTCCCCCATCTCTGCCTCCCCCCCCCACCAATCTGTCCCCTCTGTTCCTGTCCCTGTCCTCTCCTCCCGTTGGTCACAGGTGGGCTCCTTCTTCATGATCAACCTGTGCCTCGTTGTCATAGCGACCCAGTTCTCGGAGACCAAGCAGCGGGAGCACCGGCTGATGCTGGAGCAGCGGAAGCGCTACCTGTCCTCCAGCACGGTGGCTAGCTACGCGGAGCCCGGCGACTGCTACGAGGAGATCTTCCAGTACGTCTGCCACATCCTGCGCAAGGCCAGGCGCCGGGCCCTGGGCCTCTACCAGGCCCTGCAGAGCCGGCGCCAGGCCCCAGCCCCGGGGGCGCCCACCCCTGCCAAGCCCGGGCCCCACGCCAAGGAGCCCAGGCGCTACAGTAAGTGGCCCCGCCCCCCGCGGCCTCCAGGGCGCCCCGCTCAGGCCTCGTGTGCCTCCAGCCGGGGACTCGACCGCCACCGCGGGCAGACATGCCCCCCCATCTCCTCGGTGTCAGCAGAGCTGTCCGGCAGGTGGAGAACCCTGGGGAGGTCCCCCTGGGGAGCTCCAGTCCGTGCCCCTTGTTCTCTTGCCGCTTTTCTGACCACCTGCCGGGGCCTGGCCTGGGCTGGGGGTCTCAGCACCCTGCCCCCTGGAGGAATTCCCTTTGGATCCCGGTGTGTGGTCTCGTGTACTCAGGCTCCACCCCCTTGGCCATCCTGTCTGGTAAAGCCCTGGAACTCCCCTCCACTCAGCCGGCCTTGCCCCCGCCACGGGTTCCTGCTGCCCCCCATGCTTGCTAGCACGCCAGAGCAGTGACGACCGGCCACCTGGAGTAAAGGGCTGTGGCCCCCACCCTGCAAAGGCGTGGTGTATTAGGGACACCTCTGCCATTTTGTGATCTTCCCTCTCCGGGCTGTTAGGCTCAGAAAGGGCTCTCCATTCATTTTCTCATCTGTTCTAGAAAACAGCCTGAGAAAGGGGCCAAGCCGGTAACATGATCCCATTTTCGGATGGGAAAACTAAGGTCCAGATAGATGAAGGGAGTCACTTAAGGTCACACGGTGTGTCAGGGATAAAAACAACATCAGGGACTTTAGAGTTGGGTTTGCTGAGCCCGCCTCCAGGAGAAAAATGAATGCTCCCACTCCTGCAGAAGGCAAATGCGCCCTGGGAGATGGGCCCCCCGCTGGTGCTATGGAAGTTAGCAGGGACTGGACCCCAGAGCAGGTACACAGTGTGCGACCTTGGACAACCTGGGCCCCTCTGTGGGCCTCAGGCTCCTGCTCTGTAAAGTTGAGGCTGAGGCTCATGCGCAGTGGGAGTCAGCCACCCCCAGGCCCTGCTCCCGCAGTTCTGACGTCCTGCGAATCTGAGATCCTTGGGAGGCAAGCCGTAGAACTGGTGCTCAGAGCTGCCGCCCACCCATCCTCGGGCGCCAGCCGTCCAGGCATGGTCTTGGAGGAGGCTCCAGGTGGCCCGTGGGCTGGCCCAGCACGTGGACGGGGGAGCCAGGGTCTGGGCAAGGCTGGCGTGCAGCGTTCCTGGGTGATGCAGGGAGACGCTTCCTGCTGCTGCCCCCCACCCTCTCCAGGAAACTTGTGTGGAGGAAAGTTCAGGAGGCCGTCTGGGGGGAGAACGTGCCCCCTGCCCTGGGGCCTTCATGCCTTCCCCCTTCCCTGGGAAACAAGTTTCAGGGGGCCCAGCCCCATGTACAAGTGGGGCTGAGCAGAGCTTTGCTGAGATGGGACCGACCCCTGGGCTTCTGGCTGCCTCACCCTGGCTCCGGAGGACAAATGAGTCCGAGGCGCCTCGTCCGGGGCATTGGGAGATATTTGAAGGCAAAGTCTGGAAAGGAAGGGTAGGCATTACATGTTTTTCTTTCCCTTTAATGTTATTTATTTATTTATTTTTGGCTCACACAAGCGAAACACTTTTATTTTAGGAAAATATAGGCAAATATAAAGAAGAAAGCAAACCACCCAGAAAGAACCTCCGTGACACCTGTTTGAAATGGTTCACAGATCACAGAACTCTGTTCGGAGACTGGCTCGGGCTTCTGAAACTCTTCCCTGGGGCATCAAAGGGGATGAAAGCTTCTGACCCCCAATCCCTGCTGTGCCTTCTCCCCCAGGCGCCAACCCCGACTCTCAGCTTGTGAGGAGGGAAGTCTCAGGGGGCTTCTAGAGCAAGGGACACAAGCCCCACATAAGGGTGGGAGAATGGAAGATGGAGAGGCCACCTTGGCTCCCCCTGAGGGGCGTCCATCCTCTATACCAGCCTGGTTCTTCTAGAAGCTGTTCTTCAGCCGTTTCCCCAGCTCCGATGTCAGCAAGCAGGACAGTGGGAGGGCTGGGCCTCGGGCCAGGAAGTGATGGAGCAAGGATGGATGACAGGCACGTGTGCCCCAGGCACTGTTCCCGGCACACCACACGCAGCCACCGTAGAACCCTCCCCACAGCCCTGCAAAGGAGGTGCTCCTAGTCCTGGCTTTACACGGGGGCAGACAAAGCCCGGAGAGGTGAAGCCGATCCCCCAGGAACCACAGGCCCCAGGCAGAGCCTGGAGCCCGGGAGCCTGAAGCCCTCACACGGGACTGTGTCCCAGGGTTAGGTTGGGGCCTGGTGTGGGCAGGTGCTGCCGCCTCTGAGACCCCCCAGCCTGCGTGACCTGAGGCAACACCCCTGCCTTTGTGTTTGCTTTGCAGAGCTGTGCCCTCAACACAGTCCCCTGGACCCGACGCCCCACACGCTGGTGCAGCCCATCTCCACCATGCTGGCCTCCGACCCGGCCAGTTGCCCCCGCTGCCGGCATGGGGCGAGCCGGCGGCCCTCGGGCCCGGGCAGCACCGACTCGGGCCAGGAGGGCTCGGGCTCTGGTGGCTCAGGTGGTGGCTCGGAGGAGGCCGATGGGGACGGAGCCCGGAGCAGCGACGATGGGGCCTCGTCAGGGCTCGGGAAGGAGGACGAGGAGGAGCAGGCAGACGGGGCCACCCGGCTGTGCGGGGATGTGTGGCGGGAGACTCGAGCCAAGCTCCGAGGCATTGTGGACAGCAAGTACTTCAACCGGGGCATCATGATGGCCATCCTGGTCAACACCGTCAGCATGGGCATCGAGCACCACGAGCAGGCCAGTGGGGGCAGGCGCCGGGTGCAGGGCTGGGCGCGGGCGTGGAGGGAGGGCTGGGCGCCTAGGCCCAAGCCGACCCCCTGTGTGGCTGTCTCCCACCTGACTGGGACTGGGTCCGATTCGTCCCTGTAGCCTTAGTAGCCCAACCCTGGGCCCAGCCCAGAGGAGGGAGAAGCTCTGGCGGTCTGCGCAGTGGGTGAGTGAGTGAGCGAGGGGGGCCGCTCTAGTATTGGGCCCGCGGGGTTCAGATCCAGCTCCTTTCTCCTGAGCAGCTCAGCCTGGACACCAGGCACCCACAGGCCTTCCCCTGTCAGTCCCTGCCAAACCTGACTTCCAGCTGTCACCTTTCCCTGTGAGCCCACCTGTCCATTCTCCCCCAAACAGTTGGAGTGCTCTTTCCCAAGGTTGGGCTCTCCACTGCCCCAAACTGCCACAGAGCCCCATTGCCCTTGGCACGAAATACAGACCTTTCCTCGGATAGCCAAGGCTCCTCTGTGGGCAGTGCCTTTAGCCGGCGAGGCGTCCTCCTGTCCCTGATGCCCCCCACTTAGTCCGCCCTCCACACCGCCCCAAGGCACGGAGAGTAGCCCCGAGGTTGCCCTACAAAGACTGTCCTGTGTCCCTCCTCCGCCAGCCCCGTGGTCTCTTCTATCCTTGGCGCTGGGTGCGTAGAGCACAGAGTGGGTGTCGGCTGAGTCGAATGGTGTGTCCCAGGCCCCTTGGGCCATCGGGGATACTGCTGGAGCTTTGGGGCTGAGGAGAGTTCGGAGACAGGGTCCCAAGGGGGGAAAACACGTGGAAGAGGTGGCAGGAGCACAGGAAGGGTGCGTTAAGAGATAAGAGGCTACTTGTAAGGACACAGGATGGAAGACTTGGGGGGAGGGGCTAGCACCCACGTCCCCAGGACATAGGTCATACCCTGGGGTGACAGCCTGCACGACAAGTCCTGTCCTGGCTCTATTTGAAAAAGCACCATTTTCTGGCTCCCCCAGCCCCTGGGTGGGTTCCCTCCCTTGACCTTTGCTCCAGCCCTGTGAGGGCACCCCATTTGTTAGCTAGTGACCCTGAGGCCTAGGGAGGGGATGTCACTGACCCAAGGTCCCACAGCCAGTGAGGGGTCAGATCTGCACCCACATCTTTCTGTGGCAAGACTGACACCCAGCAGGGCTTAGAACGAGGGCCCCCTTTGCTTCGTGCCGCCCTCTTTCTGCGGCAGCCCCTCTGCCCGCCCGCTGTGCCCCGCGGTGGGCCACACTCCCATTTCCCTCTTCATTAGCTCGCCAAGCGCTGGCTCTATTCAGTTTTCTTAAATGTGGCCCCTGGGGCTGTGGCGACACTCTGTTCGGAGCTGCTGGTTGGCCAGCCATTCTGGCTTAATTAAAAAGGTCTCTGTGGAGGACTGGAGGGGAGGCTGTCTGCGGGGTAAAGCTGGGGAGACAGGCAGCCCAGAGCCCCCTCGCCTAGGGCTCAGACTTCTGGCCTTTTGCTGGCCCAGGCCTGCCAGGTGGGCAGAAGCCTGGCTAGGCCAGCGGTGCTAGAGGGGGGGCCCCATGGGGGACCAGGTGATGTTGGGGCGCTGGCTCTCATTTCTGAGCGAGTAGCACCGAGGGGGCTTGTCACGGCGCTGCCGCAGTGGGGTCTGGGCACCGTTCCCACCAGGGCTTGTGGGAACCAGCTTGCGAGAGCCGATTTTTTAACACTCAGGAATGTCGAAAGCCTGTTTTTAAACAGTTGGTAGCTTGAAATTGGCTGTGGTGGGAGTATTTACACCACGGAAATCGGCATACGCTGCAGATCAGGGCAGTTTATCAGAGGCCTGTTTGTCGGGATTCTCTGGGTCACAGCCTCGCCCCCTGCCCAGCGGCCCGGCCTCAGGGGCTCCCTGCCCGGCCTCTACCCCACACACCTCCTGCCACTGCCCCACCCACTAGGCTCCTTCCCTGGTTCAACGCGACTGGCCAGCAGGGAGCCTTGGGCAAGTCCCTTGGCCTCCCCCAGCCGGTGGCTCCATCTGGGAAATGGGCGCACGGACCCTTGTCAGAGTGGCGGGCGGGTTAATTAGGAAGCCCAGCACATAGTAGGTGCTCACTGATTTGCAACCATTTATGAATCTTCTGTTTGAGCCTCACATCACCACCCTTGGGGTGAGGTTACCTTCTGCCGTCTGGAGCCTCGAAAAATTAATTAATTAAATAAAAAGGTGAGGGGGAGGGAGCATTTAAAAAAAATGTTCTTTTTAAAGCAGCCCTGAGTGGCAGGCATTGTTCTGCCGAGCTCTGAGCAGGGCCTGCTGGGGTCCGGCTGGCATATTTGCTCCACTCCCCTCCGCTCCCAGACGCTTGGCAGGGAAACAGTCCGCCCCCGTGTTTATTTTGAGCAGCCCTGTCTGAGGTGGTGCCTGCAGAGAGAGGTGGCCCAGGGCCGCTGGAAGGCGGGGAGAGCGGGGAGGGCGGGGAGGAGCGGGAGGAGAAGGCGGGTGGACGCATACAGCCCCTTTCCTGCAGGGGTGGTGACTGCGGAGGGGGGGGCATTGCGGGGGGGGTGGGGGGCCTGGCAGGGAGCCTGGCACGGCCATGGGGGTGCTAGGGAGTGAGAATGGGGCGAAGCCTGTGGGTTGCTCTCTGGCTCCGTCTGCCACCCCTGCCTCTGTGGTCATGGGCACTCAGACGAGAGCTAAAATTGCGGGTTCCCCTGGCCTTTAGGTGGCCATGGCTGCCCCAACCACAAGGGATCCCAACGTCCCCAGGTTCCTCATGGACAAAGATGCTGTTCCTTGCAGGGACTGGCCTGGGAGGAGGTGACAGGTAAAAGGGGGGTCATCCAGGCCTGCTTGTGACCCATGAGGTGGTTAGACGGGGCCGAAGTCTGCTTTCCTGAGTAGGCCAAGGGAAGAGAGGGGAGGCCCCGAATGGTCTGTGATTGAGGCTACATGACAAGCAGGTGGGGAGGGGTCAGCTTGGGGGGGCCAGATCCCTCCCTCATCACCCACTGTCATGTGTTGTCACATTCCTTGTGACCCTCATGGCAACCCTATGGGATAGGCCAGGCTAGAGCAGATGGGGAAACTGAGGCTTGCCTAGGTGACACGGTGAGCAACTGTCAGAGCAGGGCTCCAGGATGCTGAGGAGGAGGTGGAGGTTCCACAAAGCGGACAGGAGGCAGTGGGGAGGCCTGGCTCCCGTGGCAGCTTCTTCCTCTCCCGGCACTCAGCTGTCCAGGCGAATGGCTCCTCCCAAGCTGGGCAAGGCCGCTCTCAGCCCCATCCCGTCCTGGAACTGAAGGATGGTCACCGAGTTGGACAACAAGAAACAGAGGGTTCGGCTGAACGGGCAGCAGGGCCGGGGTGCACGTAGCCTCCTAGGGCAGGTGGGGGCATGTCCACTGGCCCCTGCTCCCAGGGGTCTGCATTCAAGGCCTCCAGGTCAGGGGATGGCTCAAAACAATCTTTATTTTCCTGTCTGCAGCCAGTCTGGCATGGCTCTGGGAAGAGGAGGATGGGCTGGCTTAGTGCCCAACATTCCAGCTCTTTGGGGGCTTAGGGGAGAGAGCCAACATGGGCTGCAGTCACAGAAGGCTTCCCAGAGGCAGTGGCACTGGAGATGGACCCTGAAGCTTGACTAGGAGTTCATCAGTGAGACAGAGGAGGGACAGGTACGGGGACCAGGAGCACAGGCTTTCCCCCAAAGGACCTGAGCCCTCGAGGAGGATGTGCACAAAGGGCAGGAGACTGCCCAGGAGGCTGGGGGTGCTGTCCATCCACAAAGTGTCTTAAGGCAGGCTTTGTCCTCCAGGCAGTGGGGAGTCACAGGAGGCTTGTGAGCAGGGCAGTGACATGTCTGTATGCTGAACTGGAGCCTCAAGTCAGGGAAGTGGGGCAGTTGAAGCTGTCAGGGCCATGGGAGGGGGCAGGCCGGAGGGAGAATTCCTCTGATTCAGATTGAGATCCCATTCTGCCACTTCCTGGCCCTGGCCCTGGCCCTGAGCAGTCACTTCCTCTGAGCCTCAGCGTCCCGTCTATAAAATGGGGATACTGTAGGGTAACGTTTGAGGTCTAGATGAGATAATTCATAGAAAGTGCTCAGCGGCGCCGACTGGTGCGGGGGGACCCTTAACACGAGCTGACATCATTACCATGGGGGGGGTAGTATCAGGTACAGCGGAGGGGCCCCTGCCCGACAGGACCCTTATTTACCCCTGCAGAAATGGCCAGAGGCTGGGCAGCCTCGTGCCTCCAAACCTGGCGTCGGGCCAGGAGGAGCGGGCCCCTGTCCCTCTCCCTCCGCTTCGGGCCTCCAGGTTGCAGCCCCTCCTTACCTGCCCTCCACCCTCCTGCCTCCAGCCCAACATGACTTTCTTTCTTTTTTTTTTTTTTTAAGATTTTATTTATTTATTTGAGACAGAGAGAATGAGAGAGAGAGAGCACATGAGAGGGGGGAGGGTCAGAGGCAGAAGCAGACTCCCCATCGAGCAGGGAGCCCGATGCGGGACTCGATCCAGGGACTCCAAGATCATGACCTGAGCCGAAGGCAGTCGCTTAACCAACTGAGCCACCTAGGCGCCCCCAACATGACTTTCTGCCCTTTGTTGCCCCCTCTTCCGCTGGGGGGGGTGGTCCCTGCCCGCCTCCAGATGCCTCTCTAAAGCCTCTGCCTGGCAGTCTGTCTGCCTGCTGTCTCTCACGTTCCTGGCTCCTTCACCCACTCCTGCAAGGTCCCGATCTTGGTCCCGATCTTGGTCCTTCATTATGTTTGCATGCGTGTTTTTCTTCCCCTGTCTCCTCTCTCCACACCCCGCCTTTGCCTCTCCCTCCCTGTGGCCTTATTTGTCTGTCTGTCCATCTCCCCCACGGCTGCTCCCGTCCCTCTCCACACACCCTCCCACCTCCATCTCACAATACAAAATAGTCTGTGTTCGCCTGTCTCCCTCCCGCTCGCTGTCTCTCTCCCAGAAAAAAGCTTGCGGGAGTGATGGATGGTCCATTAGAGAAAGATTAGCAGGTGTGCGCCTGACTAGAGAAACAGCTGCTGTGAGTGGGGGGGGCGGGGGGCGAGCAGGTGACCTTCCCAGAGGGGACCTTCGCATCGGTTGGTTGTGGGGCGGGAGTGTGTGAGCCGTGTGTGGCCCAGAGCGGGGTGATGGTCATTACCGACTGTCAGCGGCCCCGTTTTCCATCTTTGCCGTCCCTGTCGTTTGGGCAGGCTGGGAAATTGGTGGCTCGGAACAGCATCTGGGCCCGGCCCCTCCCCACTGAGGGCCCCTCTCAGGATCCCACTCTTCTTTCAGGGCCCTTTTGTGAGTCAAATGTAATTACAGATGGAAATGGGGCCTTCTCCTTTTCTCTGGGCTTGAGAGGACCTGGCAGTTTTATTAGGTTTCCCAGGCACTGTTCGGAAGCGGGCGGTTGCATTGGGTTTTTTTTTTTTTTCTCCCCTCTTCTCCTTTTAACCCAAATGGAATCACAGGCCCCAGAGGCGCCCTGTCGCCTGGTGGAGGGGCTGGGCTGGGGGTGGGGGCGCTGACGGATGGCGGCTCTCTCACCTCCCCACTCTTGCTCTGGCTGCTCGCTCGGCCTAGATGCCTTCTCTCCCCGCCCCCATCACTGGGCTCCCCTTCTCAGCTTTGGGGTCTCTGCTGAGAGGTCACTTCTTCCAGGAAGCTGCCCCTGACTGCAGGATCGCTGTTCCCTCAAAGCATCCTCAACTTTTCTGTTTTTAGCATCCACCGAGTGCTGCTCAGCTTGGGTGTTGGGCTTTGCTACCAGAGACCGCACTTCCTGGGGGCGGGGGCAATGTCCGGATGCATTCCCCACCGGCCGCCCTGGGTAGCGCACGCCTGGCCCGTAGTGACCGCTCAGCGGGCCTGTGGCGTGCGTGAGCCCTGGGAACGGGTGAAGGCACGGGTGGGCTCTGTGTGTGTGTCCGCGGAGAGCAGTTTGGCGACTGATTGCGTGGCTCAGCCACATCCTGGCTGGGTGGCTCAGAGCAAGTCAGTTCACTCGTCGGAGCCTCTGTGTCCTTCCCTGGGGAATGGAGACACCAACACGGCCTTGCAGATTGTGAGGAGCAGCAACCAGACACTTCACAGTGCTAGCGGGCTCATGCAAGAGGGGCTGGAGCCCTGCATGGTGCTTTGGTGGAGAGGTCCAGGATGAATGTCATCTTGTTTCACCCCCTCATTTTGTGGATGAAGAAACTGAGGTGGGAGGGGTGCCCTGGAACCCTGTCTCCTAGTCATGGCCCAGAATGTGGTCTGTTTTATACACCAGCATTGCTCACAAGGTTCTATTTGTAGGGTGTCACCTGCTGCTAAAAACCAGGAGGTAATCATGTCTGGGGTCAGAGGGTGGCTCCCTGGCCAGGGGTACTAGTCTCCTTCTGGCCAGCTGGTGACTCTAACCCCTGCCCTCCCTGGGCTCTGGTGCCTTCCACTGAGAAGCCTGTGGAGCAAGCCCCATCGACCAGGGTCCTCGAGTACAGGAAAGAGCCGTTGTGGTGCAAGCAGGTGCATGGTCTCTGTCTTCTCTTCGCAGGGCACGGTGCTCTCGAGCCACCCACAATCCTGAGCTGACCGTTGGGGAAGGGGAGAGTGGGGAAGGCTCAGGAGAGAGGTCTGCACAGGCAGGGGTGAAAGGCGGGAGCCTTGGAACCGGGCTGCCTGAGTTCACATCCTGGCTTTGCCCCTTACCTGCTCCACAGCCGAAGGCAGGGGGCTGGCCTTCTCTGACCCTGCTTCCTCCTCTGCAAAATGGGCTCTTGTGTGGGATTAAGATGAACTGTAAAGTTCAAAGGACAGGTCCTGCATGGGGTAAGTGCTTCCTAAATGGGGTCGTGGGCAAACAGGGACTTTCTAGCAATGACTGGCCTGTCTTCTTGCCTTGCTCTGCATCAAGCCACGTGACCTTAAGTCAGCTTCTGAGCCTGTGTCCTGATCCGTAAAATGGGTGTCACGATAGCTCCCTGAGGGCACACAGTACCAGTGTCATTTCCAAATGTGTGGAAGGTCAGCCCGGTGGGGTCCCACCATCTTAGTGGACTCTTAGGACAGCAGAGATGCAGCCGTGTTGAAAGGTTCTCAAGGCCATTGTGCTCCAGCGAGGACCCTGACCCGCCTCCCTGGCGGTCCTGGAGCCCATGGGCATCCAGAGAGGATCCATGGCTGTGCTCTGGCCTGACCAGGTCCCTGTCCTGTGTCCTAACGCCTCCACAGCCCGAGGAGCTGACCAACATCCTGGAGATCTGCAACGTGGTCTTCACCAGCATGTTCGCCCTGGAGATGCTCCTGAAGCTGGCCGCCTTTGGGCTCTTTGACTACCTGCGCAACCCTTACAACATCTTTGACAGCATCATTGTTATCATCAGGTGCTGCCCCCTGCCCCCGCAGGCTGTGGGCCGAGAAGTCCCGGTGTGTGGGGGGGGATGGGGGGGATCTAAGGCACCGACCCCAGCCGGGAAACAAAGCATGTAAGAGCACAAAGGAAATCAATTACACCCAAGCACAGTTATCAAATACTTAAACATCTGTCATTCAGTAATATACGTGCTTCTGGATTAACGCATGAAATAGCAAGATGTAGCGGCAGGTCTTGTGACTACCATCGTTCCCAAGAAAGGATGAGTATAAGTAATATTTGGAAATATGTACATCAGCGGTTATAAGATATAAAACTGTCAGCGATTTTGACTGGTCAGAAAGTCATAGGGACTGCTAGTTCTCCGTGGCTTATTTACATTCATAACCGAAAGAATGTTAAATCTCAAAAAGAGGTCAGTGGGTAGACCTCCTGAATTCTAGCCATAGACTTCTCGTGGGGGGTGTCCATGGACTGCAGGTCAGGAGCCCCTGACTTAGAGCATGCCCCGGCGCAGCGATGACCCTTGAAACGTGTTATTTGTGGGATGAACGAATGAATGAATGGAAGCTGTCCGTCTCTCCGTCCTCCCTGGCCTCCCTTTGCCCTCCTCTCCTCCCCGCCCTCTGTCGAACCCTCCTGCCTCTCTCTCCCTCCTTCCCCCGCTTGCCCCCTCCCAGCATCTGGGAGATTGTGGGGCAGGCGGACGGCGGCCTGTCGGTGTTGCGGACCTTCCGGCTGTTGCGGGTGCTGAAGCTGGTGCGCTTCATGCCCGCACTGCGGCGCCAGTTGGTGGTGCTCATGAAGACCATGGACAACGTGGCCACCTTCTGCATGCTGCTCATGCTCTTCATCTTCATCTTCAGGTGAGGCCTGCCCACCGCGGGCACCACGAGTGCCGGAGCCTGGGGGAGCATGGCCGGTCGAGCTTCTCCAGGAAACACCCTGGACGTGGGTGTGAATCCTGACACCACCACTTAATCCCCAGTGGCTCGGGGCGAGTACTTGCCCTCCGAGCCTCAGTGTTCGCTTCTGTAAAATGGAACCAGTGCTGCCCCCTGCCATCTTACCGGGTGGCTGAGAATGAAACAAGGTGGGTGGGTCCCTGAGCCTCCTCCATTCCTCCCACAGCATCCTTGGGATGCACATCTTTGGCTGCAAATTCAGCCTCCGCACAGACACGGGAGACACCGTCCCCGACAGGAAGAACTTTGACTCCCTGCTCTGGGCCATTGTCACGGTGTTCCAGGTGAGCGACAGCATGTCTTTCTGTGCGTCAGGGGAAGGGGTTTCTCCCAGGACCGCTGCTTGCATTGCTTTTTGGAGGTGGCCCTTCAGAGGATCCAGAGAAGAGGGGTGACCTGCCAAGGAGGCCCCTCAGTTCCGGACCCCAGCAGACAGGTCCAGGTGCGGGGTCGGGCTGGCATTGCACTGACTCTGGGAGCTGGAGTGACCGCCTGGTGCCCATCCCTGCCCCTCCACTCCCGCCCTAAGGCTTGGGCACCTCGGGATTCTCCTCCAAGACTATTTCCTCACACATGCAGCTCTACCACCCGGTGGATTCCATCTGTCCTCGGGCTGGGCTGGGGCTTGGGGATACCCCAGGGCTGAGCTGTGCTCCTGATTCCCCCACAGATCCTCACCCAGGAGGACTGGAACGTTGTCCTCTACAATGGCATGGCCTCCACCTCCCCTTGGGCCTCCCTCTACTTTGTCGCCCTCATGACCTTCGGCAACTATGTGCTCTTCAACCTCCTGGTGGCCATCCTGGTGGAGGGCTTCCAGGCAGAGGTGACTGCAGCCCTGGCAGAGGAAGCACCCCCATGGGGCCTGCGCCAGACTGGGTGTGGGGGATTCTGGATGGGGGAGGGCTGCAACTCAAACATCTAGCCAGTAACAAGGCCCCAAGGAGGAGGCTGCCAATTAGGTGGTGAGCTTCCTATCGCAGGAAGCATGCAAATGGAGGCTGTATCTCGGATCCCTGCCTCTCCCCCAGGGGTGTGGGACCAGGTCTCGCTATTTCTGAAATTCTAAAGCCCCTAAGATCTAGATCCTGCCTCCTCCCTTCTCTGAGGCTTAGGGGATACCTGCAGTCAGGCCGATGTGGGCTTATGGCCCAGGTCCTCGTTCGCTTCTTGCTTTCCTTTTCTGAGCCTCAGTCTCCCTATCTGTAAAATGGGGGTGAAAAATTCAAGAGGGACAGAAGGGCTGAGCCAACCTGCATTCCAACAAGAGGGATGGTCTCCCAGGGTGACGCCAATCGCTCCTACTCGGACGAGGACCAGAGCTCATCCAACATGGAGGAGTTTGACAAGCTTCAGGAGGGCCTGGATGGCGGTGGAGGTAAACAGGTCTCCACTGGCACCTAGGGGACCACAGCCCTTCCCCAGAGATCCGGGAAGGCGAGGGGCACAGCACTGGGTTTCCCCTCAAGCCCGGGCTCCCGGACTGCTAATTCTCTGTGGTTTGCTTACATTCATAATGGAAACAGGCAAATCCCCCAAAAGAGGTTGGTGACATTCAGAGCCCTCCTGAATTCTAGCCACAGAGGGAGCTGCAGTTCACCCTCACCCCTCCACAGTGTGGCCTGCTGGGAAGAGCCTTGGGCCTCAGGACACCTGGGTTCTGGTCCTGTTGGCACCACTGGGCAACTTGGAACAAGCCTCCCCACACCCAGGGCCAGTGTCCTCCTTGGTAACTGGGCTGGACCGTCTTTGCCTTGCTTCCTGAAGTGGGTCCAGGAGTGAGGTTCCCAGGCTGGGTGCAGCTCGGGGCTGGCGCTCAACACGGGAGACAAGGGATCCACCCCAAAAAGAAAGCTGAGATGAGTGCTGAGGAACGATGTACAGAATTGTCGAGTCGTACTACTGTACACCTGAAACTAATATAACACTGTATGTTAACTATACTGAACAAAAATAAAAAAACCTAATAAAAAAAAGAAAAAAGCAAGCTGAGAGCTCTCCAGGAGGGGTGGAGGAGAGGCACAGGACATGGGGTCCAACCCAGAAGGTGGAGGAGGTTTCCCCAGAAAGACTCTATTTCTGTTCCCATCCCTGTTTCTTTGTCTCATGACTTCTTTTACTCTTGTTCTTTGTTTGCCCCCCCTTCTGTCTCCATCTCACCCCTCCAGATCCCAAGCTCTGCCCAATCCCCATGACCCCCAATGGGCACCTGGACCCCAATCTCCCGCTGGGTGGACATCTGGGCCCCGCCGCGGCTGCAGCACCCGCCCCCCGCCTCTCGCTGCAGCCGGACCCGGTCCTGGTGGCCCTGGGCTCTCGCAAGAGCAGTGTCATGTCACTGGGCAGGATGAGCTATGACCAACGCTCACTGGTGAGTCCTTGTGGGGTGCTCTGGATGAGTGCTCCCTGCTGGGGCGTGTGGTGAGGGACCCTGGGGAGAAGTGCCTGTCAGTCCAGCCTCAGGCTGGTACCTAGGTTTAGGGGACCAGACTCTCCAGCTAGAACCCGGCCATCTGTTGCATTCGTGGATGCCCAGTGCCAGAGTAGGATGCGGCAACAAAGAATGAATGAGTGAATGAATGAATGAGTAGTGCCAGTAGGTCCCTTACGGAGAATTGGGTTTTTATCTTGGCCACAATGTGCAGGTAAAGAGCTGGGCTTTGGGGTCTGGCATACCAGAGCTCAAGTCTGGCCTCTGCCATTTTCGAGCTGTGTGACCACGAGCAAGTTACAGCCCTCTCTGAACCTTTTTCCTTACCTGTGAAATAGGAAGACCACCCTAACCTGCTGTAGCTTCCTCAAGGGCAGTGAGGTGGCAGGAGGAGATGTAGCCACACCCTAGAGGTGCCCACATGTCCAAGAGTGAGAGCGGGGCAGGGAGAGGACCCCTGGGGCCTAGCCTTGCTCTGTCACCCACTAGCCAGGCCGGTGGCCCTCTTAGGGCCTCAGCGGGTGTGCAGGCTGCCATCAGTCACCACAGTGGCTTGTGTGTGTGTGGTGGCTTCCTTCCAGTCCAGCTCCCGGAGCTCCTACTACGGACCGTGGGCCCGCAGCGGGGCCTGGGCCAGTCGCCGCTCCAGCTGGAACAGCCTGAAGCACAAGCCACTGTCGGCCGAGCACGAGTCCCTGCTCTCGGCGGAGCGCGGCGGC